AATTAAAATTAAAAACAACAAAAAAATACGATGTTACATATGAGCTACTGAAAAAACAACGATGATGTATATAATATGAGCATCTAAAATTCATCTCTTGAAAGGGTTAATCTTTATCATTAATAACATTATCAACATTTTTAATAAAGAAACAAACAATTTTAATTTTTTTTAATAGGAAAAATAAAAAAAACGGCTCCATGGATCTGGACCAGATCCGTTTTTGTCAGCATGACCCAGATCCGACCCGGATCCGTTGGATCCAAAATTTGAAGACCCAGATCCGTAAAAAACGAATCTGGATCCACGGATCCGGGTCGGGTCCAGATCCATTGCCATCCCTATAGAGGACCTTACCAAAGCTTGACTCATGAGCCATGTATAACCCCTTAATTTTCAACTTGTGTGTTTCACCTAATTAGGCCTAATCAACTCAAACTATCCATGATTAACCCTGAAACTTACTTCGTAATTTTTAAGGTAAATAGAACATACCTTAAATGTGTAATACTTCGTATTAGTTTACTACTCTGTACTATGTTATATTGTTATTGGTATACACCTTACTTTGCAACCTATACTAAGGATACAAAAAAAAGAACAAAAGATAGGAATAACCGAAAAAGGAGATATAGTCCAAGGATAGGAGCAAAAAGAAAAAGGAAAAATTTTGTATCACTATCTAGTATCAATCAAACCTATCAAAATTTCATTCATTTTAAAGAAGGAATTGGCTACAACTAACTCATTCATTGATTGACAAATTACTCATCAAAAGCTGGACAAATAATGGAGGAGTACACATGGAAAGGCTGGACCAATTGCCTAATGGGTCCCAGATAATATAATGCAGACCCAGTAGCCCAAACAATTGCCTATCTATCAAAATCTAGGCTCAATATTTAGCTTTAAAGCTACTATAGAATCCAATTTTGAAACTCAGCCCAAATTTTGCTTCTGTTTTTAAATACTTAGTATTAAATTCTGTTATTTGCTTCTGTTTTGGATTTTGGAGATTTTATCTATATTTGAGAGAAAAATAACTCATTCATACTGTTTGATACGATGATTAAACCAAGGATTTATCGATAATAAACCTCTTAGGACTAAATTTTGTAGTATATACTATGCAACATGAGCTGATATGTTGTAAGAATGGTTTTTACTCTTCAAATTCTACCACCACACTAATTCATTACACATTAGTAATGTGAAAGTATGTTATCCCCACTGACTCAACCTCAGAAAAAATTATTAAGGGTATGTTCACTTTAGCTTAATTTCAGTTCAATTCAACTCTTAATTTCCTTCTTATAAAATATTCATTTCAGCTCTATTCAATTCAATTCAGCTCCAATCAATTCAGGCGCTAAGTCTACTTAGGTTCAATCAGATTACCAATCAGGTGTAAAAATAAAGTGAGAATTAGATTAATTAAGTCTAATAAGGTTTAATAGGTTAAAATGTTAAAAAGATAAACTAAAAAGAAAATTGGGACAAATCTTGTAAGACAGAAAAAATGATACTATTTATTTTCTTATACTTCCTCCGATTTTTTTTAGTTGACGTGTTTCTTTAGTCACGTTTGCCAATGCACAAATTCAATCATTAATATTTTTAACTATCAATAAGCAAAAATAATAAAAAGTTGATATTTTGAAAATATATATTGTGACGAATCTAACAAGATCGTACTCGACTATATTTTTTTCACATATGAATCACAAAAAATGGTCAAAAGGAGATGTGTAAAAACTAAATAATACTAAAGTCAAAACGTGTCAACTAATAAAAAAAAAGGAGGTAGGCCCTGTTCTCTTCACCTTAAAAAAATAATATTAAGTAAAAATAATTTCAGTTCAATAAAAATAAGTCCAGTTCAGTAAAATTAATTTCAATTCAGTAAAAATAATTTTTCAGTAAAAATAAGTTCAGTTCAGTAAAATTCAGTTTTCTTAAAGAAGAATTATAATAGAAAATCAGTAAAAATAATTTCAGTTCAGTAAAAATAAGTTCAGTTCAGTAAAAATAATTTCAGTTCGGCAAAATTAAGGTGAATCAAACAGGGCCGTAGTATACAATTATCCAATATAAATCACTTTTTTTTTTCTTTTTTTTAAATGGAAATTTAGTGGAAATTATGGAAACGCATTATGGGGATGCTTTCGGTACTTCCATGGATTGAAGTCTTTTAATTATTGTACTAGATTAGTCTCGTGCGATGCACAGATTTCTTTGAAATATAGAGTATATATTGTATGTATTCTTACGTACCAGAATAATTATTCAGACATGAACATAAGTTGTAAATGCTATTTTTATGAAATTAATTTTGAAGAAGAGCACACCGAATATGAAAATTTAAGCATATACATAAAAGTTAGATTTTTAATGTACGATTTTAATTAAGAAAATAAAAATGATTTTAAACTTGTAATATATAAAGGAAAATAGAAAAAATATATACATCAAAGTATTTTGTTCGATGAAGTATAAGGGAAAGTTGTATTAGATACCAATAGTTGTTGGTGATAGAAGAAAAATAAATAAATTAAAGAGTATATATTAATTGAGAGGAGGAGAAATTAAATTTGAAATTTGAAACCAAAGACAATATAATGAAGTCAGATTTTTATTTAGGCGGGATTTTTTTTTTTTTTTTTTAAAGCTGACACGTGGACAATATGATGTCAACGGTTGTTGTTTTAGTTTATTTATAGATGTATAATATGACAAAATAAATAAAATAACGAGTATTAGGATTTAGGAATAAAATAAAAGGAAAATTGCTATGCCAAAAAAAAAAAAAAAAAAAAAAGATTTGTAGGGTATACTAGTATAGTTCATTATTCAGTCATCTAATATTCATATGTTCTTTAGCTTTCAACTAGTTCCCGGAAACCCATTCCAGCTTAAAGTATCTGTAATTCCTGAAACACTAAACTTCTTTTTATTCTTTATTATTTTTTTTTGTCATGAGAAGACACTAAATCCTCGTCACTTCATCGGTCGTTATAAAATTTATAAACCAAATTTATTTCATTAATGATTCCCTGAACAATTATACAAAGTACATAAGTTCGTTAGTAGTGATATAATTGGTATCGCTTTCTACCTCATATTTTAAAAAAAAAATGTTGGACTCTATCGGTAATGATTTAATTGGTACTCTGTAGTTTATGATACAAAATTATCTCTTGATTTACATAGAAAAAGTAAAAAATTAAAGTAATCCGTCAAAATTTTTACTACCTTCATTTCATATTTTTTTTACAACTTTAGGGTATTATTGGAGGTAGTAATATTCATATATTTTTCGATATTGTCGTATCTCTAACACAATTTCCCTTGTGAGGAGGGGTTTATGTTGGAGTTATTCACTTGTTCCCATAGTACAACTCCAAGTCTTGGTTCATTGATGTTGCTTCAAAAGATCAAAATTCAAATTTGCTTGATTGATACCATGATTATGGCAATTAGTTGACTTTGATCATCATATATTCCTCCTCTCTAGCCGTTTAATACATAGATGGAAGACTAATTAGTAAACTTGCATAATTAAAGGGTTTTTGATTGATTTCTTATGCATGGTTGCCATGAAATATTATTTCCCTTCTTTTGACTTGAGCTTGGTGAAACTTCTATATAAATGAAGCTCCTCCACTTCTTTTTGGATACACAGAAAAGATTACATACTACTCCACAATAAATTGAAGCATCCTCCACTTCACAAGGGAGATACACAGTACAATTAAAAGACATACATACTTCTCTTTTTTACTCCAAAATGTTACACAAAATAATTTCTTGTTTTGGGCATTGATCAGTGTGTTCTCAATCTAGCTTTTCGTAGTACACCGGAGAGTTAGAGTCGTGTAACCCTGGAGGTCGATTGCTATGAGTCCGTGTGTATAAGTACGGGGCAAATTCGACTTTAGGGCAGTGATGCTATGTCACGCCACAACATTATATCAGATAAGTTTGTTCTATTATTAATTGCTATTAGTCATAATTCCTTCAATTTATAATATCACACATACCCAATAAAAAAAATAATTTTATGAAAATTATGGAACGCACTACGACCTGCTTTCGGCAGCTTCGTAGGTTGTAGAGATTTGGTATTTGTACATGTACAATACTACAATAGGACAAAATGAAGAAAGCTAAGCAACAAATATTGGGTAGAGAAATGCTACAACAACGTATTATGACTTGCAAAGTACAGTCGTTATTTAGTCTATTATTCAGTACCTAACGTCCTTAAATTTCAATTTGTTCCCCAAAAATGGCCCATTAATTGCTTAAAATTATCTGTAAATCGTGAAAGTGTGAAACACAAAACCTTTTCAATTCTTTTCCATTCTTTTTTCCTAAGAAGACAAACCTACATACTACCACTTCATCATCAGTCATCATAACCAATTACTTGTATATTTCACTAATGATTAATGATACAATATTATATACAAGGTACATAGAACATAGACTTCCAAGTTTATTGAGGTGGTTAATATTGGTATGATTGATATCACTCCTAACGTCATATTCCCTTGAAAAAAAAAAGTTGAAGCATACTACACTGATAATGTTCTAGCTAGTAGTTGATAATTCAACTATTGACTATTTGACTTACACTAAATAAGAAAAGTAAATGTACGTTTTAATCTTTTATTAACTATAAAAACTGTTACTAATACGACCCTATACCTTCTATGTGACTAAAAATCAAATTTACTAATGTGTAAAAAAACACGAATGTTTACCGTGATAGTGACTATGTGACATGGTAATATTTGTGGAAGTTAAGCTGTTAATTTATTACACAGTACGTACTTGAAGCACTCGTGTCATTCTATCAATGCAATAATATTATCAATTGGTGTTTGAGTTTATGGTTAATAGAGCTTTGATCATTGAATACGTCACTAGTGCTCCTCACTTTGAGGGTAAGTTCACAATTGGGACGTCTTTCTATATATATATACTTCGTATATAGTATTACTCAACCACTTCACTTGCTCATCTATTCTCTATTTATACATACTATTGTTGGAAGTTTACATATTAAACGACTACTGAATTGAGAAAAAATATGGCAGGAGCATCTGAAGATGTTCACCCTCAAAAGGCTTTCGGATGGGCTGCAAGAGACTCTTCCGGAGTTCTCTCCCCTTTCAACTTCTCTAGGAGGTACGGTTTATATGTTTTATCGGTTTATTAAGGTAGGGGTCGGGACCATGGATGATGTGGTTGTCCAGTAAAATCCTTTGTTGCAGTGGCGGAGCTATTAATTAATTAAGGGGTCTGGGTGGCACCGGCCCCGTCATTATTTTATTTTAAAACTTTATTAAGTAAAAGATATTAATTTATAGGTTAAATACAATTTTAATGCAATAAATAACATCAAATTAGTTTTAACATATTTGTACATTGAATTTGTGTTAAAGACTTGACTTTGTTGTACCTAAATAACACGTTACTAACATGTGGTTTAATAAGGGGTTGTGATCATGGATGATAAGGTGGTCTCGCTAAAATCGTTTTTTTTTAAAAAACTGATTTTATTGTACGTACTAACATGTTTTTGTTTGAGTTTGAAATATTCTTGTCTGTTTGATAAAAAATAGCCTCAATGGTACTACGAGTAGATCTATGTTAGTGACAACTGATCTAGACAAGGGTACATACATATACTCCTACCGTCCACAAATAATTAATTTGGTGAAACAGAACGTAAATTAAAACGTCACACACAATATTGGTTTGTGCCATATGTTGTATGTGAATTGGCTATATACGATGAAGTAGAGTGATCATGAGTTTGATGGATTTTTCACAAAATCTGAGGGTTTTATATTTTTGATGTGCAGGGCAACAGGAGAGCAGGATGTAACTTTCAAAGTGTTATATGTTGGAATTTGTCACTCTGATCTTCACTATATTAAGAATGAATGGGGGAGTAGTGACTTCATTAGTGCCAATTACCCTGCAGTCCCTGGGTAATTTTCTTAATCATTGCAATTGATCATATATATTTCAGACCAACAAAAAAATTAATTAAGTTTAATTAAGAATTGTGGCGTACTACTTAATGTGATTATATGGTATTTTCAGGCATGAGATTGTAGGGGTGGTTACTGAAGTTGGGATGAAGGTGCAAAAATTCAAAGTCGGGTACAAAGTTGGGGTGGGATGTATGGTTGGATCATGCCGTTCATGTGATAACTGTGGCAAGAATCTTGAGAATTACTGTCCTAAGATGTTGCTAACTTATGGATCTACTTACTATGACGGCACAAATACGTATGGAGGTTACTCCGATATTATGGTGGTAGACGAGCATTTTGCTGTTCATATTCCTGAGAACATGGCACTTGATGCTACTGCCCCGCTTTTATGTGCAGGCATCACTGTCTATAGCCCGTTGAGATACTATGGGCTCGACAAACCTGGACTACATGTTGGTGTTGTTGGCCTTGGCGGTCTAGGACACATGGCTGTGAAATTTGCTAAGGCTCTCGGGACTAAGGTCACTGTTATTAGTACCTCAGCTAATAAGAAGGATGAAGCTGTCAAACGTCTTGGTGCTGATTTCTTTTTGGTCAGTCGGGATCCTGAACAAATGCAGGTAGCTTACTAAACCCATTTTGTTCTACCTCTAGCTGAGTTTTATTTTTGTACAAGGCTTATTGTTATTTTAGAGTAGTGAATTGAACATTTGTACATGATGTTTTTTTATGTAATTTTGTTGGTTGCATTATATTTGTATAGGCAGCTACTGGGACACTAGATGGAATAATCGATACAGTCTCAGCACCTCATCCTCTACTACCATTGATCAGTCTGCTGAAAACAGAGGGAAAATTGATCACAGTTGGTGCTCCAGACAAACCACTTGAGTTGCCAGTCTTCCCTTTGATAATGGGTAAGCCTTCAAATAGGCAATTAATTTAGCTTAGCGAACTTGTTTTTTTTTGTACATGTTATTAAATAAATTGGATTTTTAACACTATCATTGTAACAGGGAGAAAGATGGTGGGCGGAAGTGGGATTGGAGGCATGATGGAGACACAAGAGATGATTGATTTCGCGGCTAAGCATGATATAAAGGCGGATATTGAGGTTATTCCAATGGATTATGTAAACACGGCCATGGAGCGTTTACACAAGGCAGATGTTAGTTATCGTTTTGTCATTGACATTGGCAACACACTAAAAGCTACATGAGTTCGAGTTTGATCATTTCATGGTTAAAAGACAATTGTTGGAGTCATCATGCCGATCCTTGGCTAAGTGCTAGAGGAGTGGAATCAACCTTTTATGATTTTACACCTTGTACTCATGATGGTTCGATCCATCATTAAATGATGCTTGTCCTATTTGCTTAAATCTAAGTTTGCCTTTAGTATTATATCGGTTTGTCATGTAATCTGTTTAGTACGAGTAATGCTGTAATGGTCCACTTTTATCCGAATAAATAATGTTTTGGTAATAATCATTTTGGTATGCCAAAATTTGATTCCGTTAATCCTTTAACTCTTAGCCAAATTTATGAAGGGTAGCTTAGATTTTTACTTCCCCTTTCACTTTTTCGTTGTTCTTCTTTGGAATTGATTTTAATTTCCTTTCAAAACTTTTCTTTTCTTCTTATTACGTACCCCAAATTCCCCCATCTAATTTATGATCCCACTTACCCCTACCAACTTTACCATTCAACTTGAATCATTTCTCTAATTAATGAATAAACAAGCCATTTTAAGAAAACAACACAAGCAAAACAAACAAGAAAATATGTTTGTTGCTCCCTTTATTTGTTTCAAATTAATATACATCACATTTTTCAATTTCCATACCTTTTTTTATCTAACTTTTTTATCTTTTAAAGTAACTCACACTCATCATCAATAAGACCAAAGTAAACAATAACATTTCAAATATTTCGCATGGAACGTGGTAGTATACTAGATTGAATACATACATGTAACATGAAGAGATAATTAAGGTGGCTAAAATAGACTTGACTAGTAGACTATACTATCACTTTTAGAGAAGCCTAGGTCATGGACTATGTCACTTAACTCAGAATTTAATTTACATAACTATATAAGCCTACTATTGGGCCATCTTCCTATATCTAACTACATCGATCTGCTCAATTTGTTTATAGAAGTTGTACTTAAAATTAAAAAAAATAAAGAAGAATAAGAGAAATAGAGAAAATTTACAGCAAAAATGGGAGGAACACCTGAAGATGTACACCCACAAAAGGCATTTGGATGGGCTGCTAGAGACTCATCTGGAGTTCTCTCCCCTTTCAACTTCTCTAGGAGGTACAATACCTTTTTTTTTTAATAACTTTTGCATCATTCTTAAACTCTATATCAATTTTGATATGATGATATTTTCTAAGTGATAAATTCTGTAATATACTGGTAAATAGATTTAGTCATATAAAGTTTTTTTTTTTTTTTTTTTTTTTTTTTTTTTTTTTTTTTTTTTAAGGTTAGTCTAGGGGTACAATATCAATGTATGAGTTTTTCATTTTAATAATGATAAATTAAAGATATTAATGGCCAAGAAAGGATTTGCTTACAGAGTACAAGATTTTACATTAAACACGATCAGACGGTCATAAGAATACGTGATGTAACATAATTGTGTACATGTCACATATCACCATTATTCGTGTCACATGTTGACAATTTGTTGTAGGTGATTTTATTTTATTTTATTTTATTTTTGTTATTGTTAAGGGGGCTAGTAGCTATGTGTAATTTGTTTATTAAGTAGTTTATTTGAGCATGAATATAATGAAATTTTAACAAAACGTGAGGGTTTTGAATTTTGATGTGCAGGGCAACGGGAGATTTGGATGTGACTTTCAAAGTGTTGTATGTTGGCATTTGTCACTCCGATCTTCACTTCATTAAGAATGAATGGGGTGCTGATTTCATTAGCTCCTCTTACCCTGCTGTCCCCGGGTAATTTCTTTTGATTATTTTTATACTATGAATTGTTTTTCCATTAAATTTACGAGTACTTTAAAGAATATGTTAAAACTCATTGTAATCCACTTGTGAGTGATCTGAGGGAGTGTCATACTTAAATAATTGGTACTGTATTAACTAATGACATGTTATTATCAGACATGAGATTGTAGGAATATAGGAAAATATATTATTGTGATATATTTTCCATATAGATCTTATGATATTATATTTAGGATAATAATATTTCTTACTGATATTCCAAGATAGATTTATGGAAGTTTATATAATAGAGTTTATCAAGAGAAGGTTAAATCTTGGGACCGTTCATAAAAAATTTCCCCCCTACCGGTGGGTTGGAAATTAAACCCACCGGTGGGATGATCCTTTAGCAAAAATTACCAATTTTTTTTAGTTTATTCCGCTGTGCAAGTTAGTGTTGGTGCAGAGTTTGAGTTGATGACTTGATGTATACATTACATCATGCGTGGCTTTTCTAAGCATTGAGATCAAAATAAAGTTGTTGGTGTGTCTTTGACTCTCAAAGATGAAAAAAAAAAAAAAAAAAGTTTTCGGCTCTCTTGTGTCGTGAGACAAGATATATTTGGTTCTCCTTGTGCCGTGAGACAAGGTTTGTGAGTTGATTCGAGCATTATTTTGCTCCTTTGGATATGAGTGTGGTTTACTCTGAAAAACCAATAAAAGATTTGAGTGTGGTTTACTCTGAAAAACCAAAAGATTTGAGTGTGGTTTACTCTGAAAGACCAAAAGATTTGAGTGTGGTTTACTCTAAAAGACCAATAAAAGATTTGAGTGTGGCTCTAAAACACCAATAAAAGATTTGAGTGTGGTTTACTCTGAAAAACCAATATTTGATTGGAGCTCGACAAACCTGGACTACATATTGGTGTAGTTGGCCTTGGTGGTCTAGGACACATGGCTGTAAAATTCGCCAAGGCTTTTGGGGCTAAGGTCACAGTTATTAGTACCTCACCTAACAAAAAGGAAGAAGCTGTCAACCGTCTTGGGGCTGATTCATTTTTTATCAGTCGCGATCCTGAACAAATTCAGGTAGTTTTTAATATAAGCCGCTTATGTCTTACCTTAAATTAGATTGGTTTTGTTTTAATGTTGTAAAGGGTGAAGATTTTCCTAAGGTAATATTTGTGTATGGAAATGTCAAATGTACAATGTTTCCTTGAGTAAAATTATCTAGGTAATTTTGGTAACGTTACTTGTATATGTGCAGGCTGCTAAAGGGACAATGGATGGCATAATAGACAGTCTCGGCTGTTCATCCTTTATTACCATTGATCGGTCTGCTTAAAACCGAGGGAAAGCTGATCATGGTTGGCGCCCCTGACAAACCTCTAGAGCTGCCAGTCTTACCTCTGCTTTTGGGTAAGCCCCTTCACCCTTCCCTCTACCCCCTCCACCCGAGAGGAACTTTTTTCGTGTACATGTGATATCGAATGTATGTGATATGTCACAGGAAGAAAAATGGTCGCTGGAAGTGGGATTGGAGGCATGAAAGAGACACAAGAGATGATTAATTTCGCGGCTAAGCATAATATCAAAGCGGATATTGAGATTATTCCAATGGATTATGTGAACACGGCCATGGACCGTCTACTCAAAGTAGATGTTAGGTATCGCTTTGTCATTGACATCGGTAACACATTGAAAGCTACATGAGATTGGGGGAATGCATATACTTCATACGTATATGATTTTGTACCTTGTACTGATCAAGATATGTAGCCATTAATTATGTGGTTCATATGCTCAGTGATATAAATGATGTTTGAATAACTGAATTACAACGTGACACACGAGTTTACCAACAGACACAAATTGGGGAAGTTGAAATTGAAGTCTTTTTATCTGTCCATACTCTATCAACTTATCAAGTTTGCTTTCGTTCGAAATAAGATGGTCCATTTAATTTCACATAAGGCTTAAACTACTCTTAATAAGTTTAAAGTCCCGTTAATAACTTCACCTTATTTTTGCTGAACTTTTTTTTTTTTTTTAATTGAACTGAAATTATTTTTGCTGAATTTAAATTACTTTTTTTTTTTTTTACTAATTTTCTGTTATAATTCTTCTTTAAATTTATTGAATTTTACTGAAGTGAAATTATATTTATTGAACTAAATTTATTTTTGCCGAATTAAAATTATTTTTATTGAATATTATTTTTTTAAGGTGAAGTGAAAGGACCTAATAACTACATTGACTACTTCGTTCTCAATTTCTTTCCACAAAATCTTAACAACTTCAATTTTATCTAAAAAATTTGACATAAGCAAAATATGTTTCGATCCTACCGTCCATAAATAGACGTCTTAAAATAGAAAAACAGTCCTGTCAAAAAAAAAATTAATGAAAAACGGTGGGGTTTGGTTGTCTAAATACGGAGTGATATGATCGAGAAGATATTGAGCATCTCCAAATCTCCAATGGTATACAAATAGGGACTTCCTTGCAAATTAATTAAAATTACAAGCATGTAGTTTACCATTGGAGTGAAAAATTGATGTAGCTAGATTAAGCAACGTTGCTCAAACAAGCTACGTTGCTTGATTTTTCAAGGATAATATCACCCATTGCATTAAACAAATGACGTGTTTATAATTAAAAACAATTTTATTTATTTATATTTTTCCAAGCTACAATATGCTACAATTAACCATTGGAGCAATTTGTAGCTACAAAATATACCAGCTTGAATATTTGATGTGGCAAGGTAAGCTACAGTACAAAGTATTGTAGCTTATCATTGGAGATGCTTACAAGATGTTATAGGAAAAAAAAAAAAAAAAAATCAATGTAACACCCCATGTAATCAAAGATATTACAAGATGATGCATTTAATTTTTGTCATGTATCCTATTTGATACGGAGTACATAGATATTACAGATAATAATATGTTTATCGATCTTGTACAGTAATATCCTAGTTGATTACATAATTTATTATCTTGTAATTAGTAATATCCTACCTTTTTTTTTTGAGAGCTTGTAATATCCTACTTGATATTACTACATTTAAAAAATAATAATAATAATAATAATAATAATAATAATTGATTACATACATAACCAGATTTATTTTGATAATACTCCGTGCATAACAATTTAACAAGTATCGAGTATTATAACATATCAATGTGTCATTTTATTGCTTAAGCTATAAATTCTATTTACGGAGTATAATTTTATACATTATAATCTCCATGTTATTGAATGGGTTAGTTGTGAGTTAGGGATCAGAGTATCAGACTCAGGCCTGTTTTCTTTAGCTTAATTTCAGTTCAATACAGTTCACTTTCTAATTTCTTTTTTTTATTGTTATTGAGAAGAAAAGTAAGCACAAATTGCTATATATGAAAATCAGAGAAGAAGAAATCCATTGATCGCCATTAATGGAGTTCAAGGTTTACAGTAAGAAAAATAGAGAGAGAAAATGAAGAGAGAGAAGTTTGTTATTAAGGGAATTGAATTAATGAAGAAAAGCTTATGACAGTAGCTTATAAATGCTCTGTCCATTACAAAATATCAGTAACAGAATTAGATGGTTGTAACTAACTTTCTGCTGAGCTGGCACTTGTGCTGGCGTGGCAGTGGGTATTATTTCACATCCCCCCTCAAGCTTGGGGTGTATCAGACATGCCAAGCTTGGACTTCAGAAGGTTGAACTGAGGAGAAGGCAGAATCTTTGTCATAATGTCAGCCAACTGTGAAGAAGTAGGAAGATATGTGAGCTGAATAAGACCCTCCAGTACCTTGTCTCTAGTAAAATGGCAATCAATATCAATGTGTTTGGTCCTCTCATGGAAGACTGGATTCTTTGCAACATGCAAGGCAGACTGATTGTCACGGTGCAAAGTAATAGGCTTCAGATTGGTAACACCAAAATCACCCAGCAATCTGACTAACCAAGCAACTTCAAAAGATGCAGCTGCCATTGCCCTATATTTAGCTTCTGAGGATGACTTAGAAGTGGTAGGCTGCTTCTTAGATTTCCAGCTGATTGGAGAAGATCCCAGCATCATAACATATCCTGTAATCGACCTCCTTGTATCAACACAAGCCCCCCAATCAGAATCTGAAAAGGCCTGCAATCTTAGATCCATACCACCTTTGAAAATAATACCTTGACCAGCAGTTGAGGCAACATAATTCAATGTATGTGTCAAAGCCTGTAGGTGAGAAGATCTTGGCATTTGCATGAACTGACTCAAGCATTGAACTGTGAAGGCCAAATCAGGTCATGTATGACTCAGAAAATTCAATTTTCTTACAATACACCTGTAGTAGTGAGGATCTTGTAGAAGATCACCATCATCAGTACTGAGTTTTAAGTGTAGAGGCAAAGGAGTTGTTGCAGGTTTGAAAGGCTTAAGATCACTCTCAGCAAGAAGCTCCCTAGTAAATTTTGCTTGAGAAAGAATAACAGCACTGCCAGTGTAACCAAACTCCATGCCCAAGAAGTAATTTAAAACACCCAAGTCTTTGATGCTGGAAGTAACATGCAGATGTTGCTTTAAAGCACTAATCTGATGAACATTTGTACCTGTGATGATAATATCATCCACATAGACAGCCACAAGAGTAGAATGCTGGCCAGAACACTTGACAAAGAGAGAATAGTCATTCTTTGACTGAACAAATCCCAGATAAATCAACTCAGCTGTTAACTTTTCAAACCATTGTCTACTAGCCTGTTTAAGTCCATATAGAGACTTTCTGAGTTTGCACACCTTATTTCCAGGATTAGGAACCCCATCTGGCACCTTCATATACACCTCTTCAATCAAATCACCATGTAAGAAGGCATTATTAACATCTAGTTGAAAGATAGTCCAACCTATATGAACAACCAAGGCAATCAAACCCCTAACAGTTGCCATTTTAACAACTGGGGAAAAAGTTTCCTCGAAGTCAATACCATATTTCTGGTTAAAGCCTTTAGCCACCAACCTAGCTTTGACCCTTTCAATAGTTCCATCTTTCTTCAGTTTAATCTTGAAAACCCACTTAGAGCCAATAGGTTTCTTCCTAGAAGGTAAATCCACCAAATCCCATGTTTTATTATCAAGAAGGGCTTTAATCTCCTTTTTCATTGTTGCCTCCCAATTTGGATCACCTGCAGCCTCTTTGTAAGAAGATGGCTCCTTAATAGAAATGGACTGAGAAATAAAAGCTTGGTGGTCAGAAGAAAAAGAAGAGTGGGAAACTAAGTTACACCAATGATCTGTGAACACAATGGCATTCCCACAGAAATAATCACCCATCCATTTTGGTGGTTTTCTTTGCCTAACAGTCTGGGAAGGAGGTTGTAAAACAGAAAGATCATGGGATAAATCAACAATAGTTGAAGGAGAATAAGAAGAAGAAATATGTGAATCAGAATTGGAAGAAAACTGGTCAGAAAAGGGAGAAATAGGGCTATTGGGAACAGGACTGTGTGGAATTTGAATTGGAGAAGAGTTATTTGGGATATGGAAAATGTCTGGAACTTCAGTAGCAAGAAAAGGATTTGGGATAGGTGTGTGAATAGGTAAAAAGAAAGGGGTAGGTTTAGATTGTGGGTTGACAGAAATATGGAAAGGGAAATGTTTTTCATGGAAATCAACATCCCTGGAAACTAAAATCTTTCTGCTGGATAAATGAAGCACCTTATAACCTTTCTGAGTAGGAGAATAGCCCACAAATACACAAGGCTCAGCTCTAGGCTCAAATTTGCTTCTGTGCTATCTGGTTGTGCTAACATAGCACAAACAACCAAATACTCTGAGATGTTCAGGATTTGGTGGCCTGTGATATAACTTTTCATATGGTGACAGATTACCTAAGACTTGAGAAGGCATCCTGTTGATCAGATAAGCTGCACACTGAACACATTCTCCCCAAAAAGACACAGGAAGATTGGATTGAAAATAAAGTGCTCTCCCAACTTCAAGAAGATGCTTGTGTTTTCTCTCCACAACTCCATTTTGTTGAGGAGCGTCACTACAGCTAGTTTGATGTAAAATTCCTTTCCCAGTATACAAAAGTAAAACCCTTCCTTCACAAAGCTCTTTTGCATTATCAGTCCTAATAATTTTGACTAAAACTTCAAACTGCTTTTCAACAAAAGTGACAAAATTGACTAAAATATCAACAAATCTGTCTTGAACTTCATCAAATGTACCCAAACATTTCTTGTGTAATCATCAACAATAGTGAGAAAAAGATTACAATTATCATGGGTTTTATTTTGATAAGGTCCCCACACATCAACATGTAACATCTCAAAAGGATATGTAGTTTTGATAGAACTACTGGGAAATGATTTCCTATGTTGTTTTGCTGCAGGACAAATACTACATATGATCTCATTCCCCAACTTCTTACAATCTATCTTATTCTGAATCATGTTCATATTAGTGAAAGGAACATGTCCTGTCCTAAGGTGCAGCAATTTAACTTGTTCTAAAGAAGACTGACATACAGTATGAGAAGAAACAGAACCTGGATTTGATGCAGAAGCAGCTACCCTATTAGGACCTTCTGTGAAATAGAGATCATTTCCAACTTTACCAAGAACAAGTGGATGTGTCAAAGACTTCTGATCCTGGACAATGCATTGATCAGTAGTAAATTGAACTGTATAACCTCATCTTGACATAACTTGTGCACAGAAATCAGATTGAACTGAAAACTTGGAACATATAAAACATTCTTCAAAGTAATATTGTTGCTTAGAACAGTTGTTCCTATATGGGTCACTTTAACTCTTGTACCATCAGGTATTGTTATGTAACAATTCTGATCATGTACTACTTCATATGAATCAAACATATCCAACCTATGACACATATGATCACTTGCACCACTGTCCACAATCCAGCCACTACTATAGGCAGAGGACAAGAGGCAATAATTACCTGCAAACATAGCATTGCCATCTTGATTTTCTGAAGTCTGATTTATCTTCTGTCTACCAAAGAACGACCTCAACTGTGACAACTCATCCAAAGAGAAACTAGCATCCAAATTCATTGCACTTGTTTGATCTGGACCATTGTCATCAGGACCTGAACTACCATCAGCACAATTTGCAAACCTCTTAGGAGCAGTGTGACCTATATTCTTGGAAATATTCTGATTCATATTGTATCCAGGTGGGTACCCTTTTAGCTTGAAACATCTCTCCATACTATGACCAGGCATTTTGCAATGATCACAGTAGTAGTTAATAGTTCTCCTTCCCCTAGAAAATTTGTTAAAGTTATTCTAAACAAAACCTCTTCCATAACCAGAATTACTAAAATTCTGACTACTTCTATCATCAAACTTCCTTCTGTCTTCAGCAAAAGCTATGGGCTCAGAAACTTTCTCAGGTACAGCACTCAAGGCTTTGTGTCTCTCTTCTTGAAGAACCATTCTGTATGCCTGGGCTAAAGTAGGCAAGCTAGGCATCATAAGAATATTAGACCTCACATTTGCATATTTGTTTGTGAGTTTCATCAAAAACACCATTAATCTCTGATCTTGCTGTAACTTGATGTATTTCTGAGTCAAAGAGCAAGTACAATTGTTACAAGCACAGGTAGGTAAGGGGCAAAGATTATCCAATTCATCCCATAACTTCTTGAGATGATTGTAATACTCAGAAATAGACATAGTATCTTGTTCTGCACCAGAAATTTCTTGTTGTAAGGCATATAATTGTGCTGATGATGCATGTCCAAACCTCTCTTCAAGATCTAACCATATCTCTCTTGCAGTCTCAACAAACAAAATACTACCAGCAATTTGTGGACCGAGTACAACAATAATCCATCCAATTACCATACTATTACACCTATTCCAAGCCTTCAAAACTAGAGCATCATTTGGTTTAGGCAAAGAACCATCTATAAAACCCATCTTATTATTTTTTGTTAAACCTATTATCATGGACCTCTTCCAATTTCCATCCCATTTCCATCAAACACATTGGATACAAGTTTCATACCAGTGAAATCAGAAGGATGTAAGTAATAGGGGGAAGCAGGATCTTGATTAAGATCTAAAGTTCTTTCTGTATTAGCAGCCATTTCAACAATTGCAATCAACTATTTCAAGAAATTTCGCACAAAACAAGCAAATCCCCAAATATTCACAACAAATCAATCAAATAGCTCGAAAATCACAAAATCAACAGATCTCAATAGCAATTAACAAGTTTAACCAGAGAAACGCTCGAAGAAATAGCTCGAATAAAAACTGAACAAAAGAAACAAAGATTACCAGACATCCGCCATTAAAATCGCTCAAAGAAAAACCTCCAAGATCGCCGAAATCAATTGCTGCTCTGATACCATGTTATTGAGAAGAAAAGTAAGCACAAATTGCTATATATGAAAATCAGAGAAGAAGAAATCCATTGATCGCCATTAATGGAGTTCAAGGTTTACAGTAAGAAAAATAGAGAGAGAAAATGAAGAGAGAGAAGTTTGTTATTAAGGGAATTGAATTAATGAAGAAAAGCTTATGACAGTAGCTTATAAATGCTCTGTCCATTACAAAATATCAGTAACATAATTAAATGGTTGTAACTAACTTTCTGCTGAGCTGGCACTTGTGCTGGCGTGGCAGTGGGTATTATTTCACATTTATAAACAATTTAATTTAATTTAATTTAGCTCACTTTATTTTAGTTCAGTAAAATAGGCCCTCGATCACTTTAGGATCTTGCAGGGCACATACTGAAAGCATTTTTGTTTTACTCATTTACATTGTTGTGCGATATCCAATACACATATTTGATTAATTATAACTTAAATTATAGACTAATACAAATTATAAAAATTAATATTTGGATACTACACAATACACATTGAAATGATTTCAATAATATCACAATTTGTAATTTCTTAATTATTATTCGTATAAAAGTAGCAGTAGGTGGTTGAAAAAAAATTAGTTTGATCCTACAATTTGTAAGTAGAACATTACGATTAATAAATTGAGATAGTAAATCACTCCATTATCTTTAGATAACCAAATGGATAACCAAGCATGCATTGAAGCGCTTAAGGAAGCACAGCATCAAGGAGGCGAGTGTTATCTCATCTTGAACATTTGTCGAAATCTATTTAAAGTATTTTTTGTAATGTTGTAATTAATCATTGTTTTAGGAAGGGCAATAAAGTAGCTGATCGTTTGGCTAATCTAGGAGTCGTCCTTGAAGAGAAGGTGTCTTATTTTGATGATCCTCCAATTGAAATAAGAAAACTTCTTTGGGAGGACGTAGTTGGGGTTACCTCACCCCGGTTTGTTAGGTGAGCTTATTTTGTTTTTTCGTATGTTAGGGTTTTTTTACGCTCTTTTGCATTAAAAAAAAAACCTACATTATCTTTAGAATTTTTAGGAATCAATTAGTTACATTGTACATTTGTACTTGCCTAATTAGAATGATTTCCTATCAACAATTCAACATTTGTCATTGTAATAAAGTAAAATAATAATAATACTCTCTCATCTCCTCTCCTCTCCTCCTCTCTTCTAGGGTTTCTCCAAAATCTTGGCTGTTTAGGCCAGAAATAGTCTAATTTATTTGGAAATTAGACTATTTCCGACCCTATTCCTTTAATTTTATTTAGTTTTGCAATTTGAATTTCAATAAATCTACACAAGTAGTGTAGATATTCGTCTGTCTCCCTATGGTGGAGTGTCTCCCTATGGTGGAGTCGCTAGTTTTCGTTAGTTTAGTTGTTTGTTTTTGTTTTTGTTTAGGGTTTGTTTGTGTGTTAGGGTTCATCAAAAAAGTAATCATCTTTTGCCCTATTGTCAGTTCTTTGGTGAAGATTTGTTCGGGATCGCAACGGTTGTCAAATTTTCAAATGCGTTCAGGCGAATCAGATGAGAATCATCCTTACGGCTACAACAAATCGTTAGACCGTCTCTCCGAAAAGGTTGTATATTCCAGCAATGTGTGCGAGAGATGTACCACAGTGCAAGATCTTTTCAACGATCGTAGCTCTGATGAAGGAAAACCTAATTTGATTCAATTTTATGTATTTGTTAATTTAGATTTCATTTGTAGATGCCGGATGACTTTTTATTAATGAATTGATTTGTTTCAAAAAAAAAAAAAAAAATGAAAAAAATTAATGAGAACTAGAAAATTCCACGAGTATTTGTTTCTTTTTAACTTTTTGTCTCAACTTATTCTACAAATCTTGAATTGAACAACTATAAAATCGTGATTTCTAGATTTTCAAAAGCAGAACATTTACGTGATAATTCCAAATAATTCCTTGTCCAAGGAAAGCGAAAAAAAAAAACACACAATTAAAGCATTGTAAAGACACGTGGCAAAACACAGACTACAAGAAGAAACTCATGTAGCACTGTCAATTCTCACCCGCATGTGAACGTAATAAAATCATTCCACCCAATTACAGAGGCTGTCACAAAATCTTAGGTCACCAACTACGTCACTTTTGCTCCTCAATTGAGTGCTTATATACCTATTTTTGGGTCATAACTTTTTCGTTCATACATTTTCTTTTCCCTCTATTTTTAACAAAGTTAAGGAAAAAAATTTATTCTCTTGAAAGTTTGTGGAGTTTTATTTAAGAATAAAAAAAATTTACAACAAAATAATTTGAAGAGGAAAAAAAAAATGGCAGGACCTGAGGATGTACACCCACAAAAGGCTTTTGGATGGGCTGCTAGAGATACATCAGGAATCCTTTTTCCCTTCCATTTCTCTAGGAGGTATATTTTGTTTGACATTCTTTTGTTTTCAATCTTATTATCGATTTTTTATATATTAGCGTGTTTTGTCATGCATACTGCTCTCTAATCTCAAGATGATGATTTTGTGAGAGTGATCAAATTGTCATGTATTCATGAATTAATAAGTATAAGGGTACAACTTTTTTTAAATATCGTACTCATTTAATGATCGTTTTTAATAAGAGATGATGATGAGGTGTATTAAATTAATTATCAATTTTGTTTGTTATTATTGGATTACTTTGCAATTATAATTTAAGAGAATTATAAAGGAATTTAAGGTACAAAGTCTTATAAATTTTCATACGTAGTATATTCTAAATTTAAGAATTGTTTTTGAAGCTTATAATATACGTACGGATGCATATGACATAACTATTTTATAACAAGTTGTGATAGTAACAAATAGGAGTACGTTATTTTATAATCTGATATGAAGTACGGTACATTGTATTATTTTTGTCATGCATCACGAAAGACGGGGAAATGAATAATTGCTATTAAGGGGTAAAAAAAATAAAAGCAGATTTTTTATTTTTTTATGAAAATGGAATAGGTAGGGCCCAACTGTGATGGGGTGATAAAGCTTTGTTTTTTAACATACCAAAGTGGTGAAGAATTAATTAATTACCTGATTTAGGATGGAAGTTGTACTAATTTCAAGTACATGATTTAAGGCCATTTTCAAGTCACACAATTTTACAAATTGTTTAAACTATTGTTCTGGATTAGTTATGTGTTTAATGCGAATATGTTACAAAGTCTGTGATGAAGTTAGCGGATTACTTATTAAATGTGATTGTTTAAACTTGCAGGGCAACAGGAGAGCAAGATGTAACTTTCAAAGTGTTATACTGTGGCATTTGTCACTCTGATCTTCACTTCATGAAGAATGAATGGGGGAATGCCTCTTATCCTGCTGTTCCTGGGTAATTACCTTTTCCTACAATGTTTCTGTATCGTATACTTCGTGATACATATTGTGTTATGGAGTATAATTAATGATAGAGTATATAAATCGATCATGGGCTTTAACCATCAACTTAAGATTTTGGTTGAGTTGGTCCTCTAACATGGTATCAGTATTTAGTAGCCGGTCCTCTAACAATTAAAGATTTATGTTACTTTTTTCAGGCACGAGATTGTAGGGGAGGTTACAGAAGTAGGAAGCAAGGTGCAAAACTTCAAAGTAGGGGACAAAGTTGGGGTAGGATGCATGGTTGGAGCCTGTCGTTCGTGTGATAGTTGTGACAAGCACCTCGAGAATTACTGCCCCAAAGTGCTCCTAACCTATGGATCCACTTACTACGATGGCACCCCTACATATGGAGGTTACTCTGATACCATGGTTGTAGACGAGCATTTTGCTGTTCGCATTCCTGAGAACATGGCACTCGATGCCACTGCCCCTCTTTTATGCGCTGGTATCACTGTCTACAGCCCTTTGAAGTACTTTGAGCTTGATAAACCTGGACTCCATGTCGGTGTTGTTGGCCTTGGTGGTCTAGGACACATGGCTGTGAAATTCGCCAAGGCTTTTGGTGCTAAGGTCACAGTTATCAGTACCTCTCCTAGCAAAAAGGAAGAAGCTGTGAACCGTCTTGGTGCTGATTCCTTCCTGGTCAGCCGCGACCCTCAGCAGCTGCAGGTACTTAAAGTTGCATGTCTTCCCAAGGATTGCATTGCTTAAATTAGACTTTGTGGATTTTCTGACTAGAACTGCTTGCATTTGTGTAGGCTGCTGTAGGAACAATGGATGGCATTATTGATACAGTCTCGGCAGCTCACCCTCTCTTACCATTGATCGCTTTGTTGAAGACTCACGGAAAGTTGGTCATGGTTGGGGCTCCCGACAGACCTCTTGAGTTGCCAATCTTCCCTCTGCTAATGGGTAAGCGACCCTCCTCCCCCAACCCCTACCAAAAATAAGCGAGAATTTGTTTGTTTACTTTCTTTTTTGTATGATCAAGCGTTTGATTTAGTGAGCTACAATGGAGATTCATGATTGGCTTTTGTGTTAATTAAAACAGGTAGGAAGATCGTGGCTGGAAGCTGCATCGGAGGCATGAAAGAGACGCAAGAAATGATTGATTTTGCTGCCAAGCATGATATTAAAGCAGATATTGAGGTTGTTCCGATGGATTATGTGAACACGGCCATGGAACGTCTTCTCAAAGCAGACGTTAGGTACCGTTTTGTCATCGACATTGCCAACACAATGAAAGCTGAATGAGAATAGATGCATTATAATGATCTGACGAGGCTGTGATAAGTTGTGACTTTCTAGAACAAGTCTTGTTTCACTAACTACTTTGGTTACTATCTTCTATGTAAACAATCAACATTATAATCTATGTAGAACAATTGATGTTGTGGTTGATTTATAATACATGAATTTTTTTAATTGGATGGGAAACATGTGCATCTTCTTTAACTGAACAACTTTAGCTATGATATGGGTGTTGAAATTAGTATGCTGTTGAAAGCTGCTCGAGTATGTAATGCATTACCTACTGCTGCATACGCATCACAGCAGCACACGAAATACAAGCACTTGTAGCATGGCAAGCGTGCAAAACTCACGGTGCTTGGGCATTTGGGCTTACATACTCTTCCCTTTACAAGAACCACTATGCTATAGAACCAGCAAAATTACCGTGTTCAAAATTTCAAACACAGGGAAAACAGTGACATTTTCATAATACAATGAACATAGTTTCTTCTCATTTCTTAACAGCTACTCCGTACTAAACATTTACACATGGCCCAAGATATCATTGTCAAAAATGCCGATGGACATTGAGTATTTGGGCACACCTGTGTCCAAGAGACAGGAAGTGGGCTGTCAATCGTCCTCCTCGACTGTGGATGTCATTTCCATATCTAATAATGACAGTGCTTGGAGTTGACATCACTACGGGATTAAGATACCCAGTTAACATCAACAAACACTGAACATTTGTTAATGTACCATGCCATATGACTTTTCTAATCGTATCTCAACCTCAACATTCAGGCTCCTCCACTCCTGCGCTATGCACTTGTGTTATGCTGTTATCAGCATTAGAATGAAAGAGTTAGCATCATACTCATGTATCATAAATCTGAAATACAAAAAGATATAAATGCCATCTTATCACTCTTACCATTGCGTAAAGTGTAACAGTAAGCTGCATAGGTTATGATTTAAAGGCCCATTAATGCCCGACATTGACAGCGCGAGATAAATTCCAAAACTTTGTGGATCAAATAGAAAGTCTAGAAGTCAAGAGACCCTTGTTTAGTGGATGAAGAACAACTACTAGATGTGCCATATGATGCTCCACTTGAACCATCAATGGGAGCTTGATTTAGACATTCTAAAATCAACGATCTACGCTTATGAAGCTTGATTGAAAATGTTGAAGCCTCTAAAACCAAAGGTACCTGCTTTGTGGCATCCAACAAAGGAACTAAAAGTTAAGATATAATCCTTCTCTTATAACAAGATAAACTGAAATTGAGAAACAAATTGCATACTGGTTACCAAAAAAAGAAAATACACGCACAAAAGCCCACTCTAACCCACAGGGTTGACAAAACCAAGCAAGCTCGATTAGTAAAAAGAAAGCCCAAGACAAGGAGGATCTCAAATAATCAAATACCTGGGTGTTGAACCGGGCCACTTTGTGAATGCTGAGGAAACCAACCATTTCTTGATATCCAGTAAGCAGTTGTGCTAACTCCTTGTCCTCATCTGATGAGAGCATAGAATATGAATTACTTTGATATTTAAAAAATAACCATGATCTTCCAACATAAACAGCTATAGTCTATTGACATGCCTGGAATAGCTTTGACTGAGAGCAGGGTATCAGCCAAATGCTGCCATCTCTTAGAGAAGGATGACGACAGAAGGGAATGTGGAAAGGTAATAATGGCAACTGAATTTGATGCCTTAACCATGACTTTCAAAGACTTAATAAAAGCAAGCATATCCCAGTCCTGAAACATTAAAAGCAGAAAATTCCCAACATTTAAATGATTGGAAAAATGAACAGAAATATTTAGTATTGCAACAAAGGGCATAAAAGAATTACTACCTTGTCAAAGTATCCACACTGGGGAGCACACAATGACTGAATAGCAATGCGGCCACCACAAGGAACGGTATTACCACTTCAGCAAATAAGAGAAGAGTAACGTCAAGAGAAAGAAATGTAGTTGATCAAGTAGCTTACAAGATCCCATATCAGAAGCAAAAATTCAGTATTTGAGAAGCAAAAGAGATGTCACAAAGAACCTACACAAAAGCAGGATTGCCTCCCCTAATCCTTTATATCATCAAAAGGGCATACCTAGAGTTTTGAGATAAAAACGTAGAGCAACGCTGATGAAGTGTGTCCAGAGTCAGATCTTGAGTGCTCACACAATCAATGTGCTTTCCTCCAAAATGTTCCCTCCCCAAAGGTTTACGCAAATCAAAATTGTTGCAGTACTCAATTTTGGAATCTGCAAAGCCAACCAAATAAGTTTCATCACTTTTCTTTTATTAAAAACCAATCAAAGTTTATGCTATTCAAAGTTATTTAAAGATTGAAAAGGCCATTTTCCTATACTTTCCACTTTGCTCTAAGATTTCACAAATTGCAAGTTACAAGATATCCAATGTCCTAACAACCAACAGCATAAGATCATGAGATATCATTAGCAGGGATGAAAACCAATCCACATTACCTCTAATATCGTGACCGGGTTGATTTTCCCTCGCATATTTCTTGTACTGCCAAGCAATTCTCAAATCCTTATCCTACAATTATAAACAATCAAACCACACAGTAAGTGGGTGATTCCATTAAAAATACACTCCACAATCCATACAATGATAACCCTTATACCTGTTCAGTACTGTGATCACGAGGCTTGTCATCTTTAGGGGACATTGGATTAGGCAAAGTACCCAAAAACCCTTTCGGGTCCTTCGCCGGACTCGCATATAAAAGAGGTTGATTATGAATTAATCCTTGCGCCATAAAATTCCTCAACAATAACATATGATGAGGTGCTTCTGGATCCTCCATTACCATAACTAAACTCCCCAAACTGAACCCACCTCCCAAAATCCCTGATTTTAAAAGAGAGGTCACAAAATTCCATCATAAACTAGACAAAATCACAACTTCAATAACACCCATAAACATAGAAAGGAAATTAATTCCAGAAAACTAGGTTCTAACAAAATCCTAATTAAACATCACTTGGTGATTATTTACCAAATTAAAGCTTAATTCAATAAATTCACATACCCAAATAAAATCCCCACCTCCAGAAAACCCTAAACATTTCATAGATTTACCAATAATTAGCACATCAATAATTACCAAAAAATCAAGGAACACCCAGCAATTAGTAAGCTTACTGTCAAGGTCAGGTATGCCGGAGGAAAGGAAAACGACGCCGTTAGGACCGGGCTTAAGACCCGGAACTTGGGAAGCAGGACCAGCCAATAGATTGCGAGAGAAGCTGCTGGTTCGAGCCTTGGGTGTATTGGTAGCCATGATTACTCACCTAAGGAAAAAATTATCAGGAACTAGGGTTTAGCGCAGAAAAATTAATTTGGGCGTCAATTAAACATTTTGAACAAGAATTATACCAGAATTAATCAACTAGGACTCTACGAGTACAATTCAAACAAACATTTTTATTTTTGAGCAAGAATCATACCAGAATTCGGAAGAGCCCTAATTTTTGTTGGACTGGGCCATGTTGCCGTTGAGTTTGCTAAAGCTTTGGGCTTGATGGTCCGAGATGAAGATTTGGGCCGCCTTGGTTCTGATTCGTTTCTAGTTACCAGACCCACAATAACTTAGTAGTTTTTTTTTTTTTTTTTTTTTTTTTTTTTTTTTGCCAAGTTCAAATACAGTTTGGTCAAAACTTGGTTGACTCAAATTAAAAAAGACTACAGTCTCAAAATGTTAAAGTGAACTAAACTTTTAAGTGATTTTCTGATCCAATTGAACCCATTCTAAAACATTCAAAATTCAACGAGCTCCAAGTGAGCTTAAATGCATAGGCTCAATATTGAGCTCGCCCATTTTGGACTATATATACTACGTATATATCTATGCCAATGTACAAATTTATTCTTTAGAGGCGTGAAAATAGTATTGAAAATTTTAATTTTTATGACTTCATAAACTACTTTTATTTACATTACTCTGTATTATTTTATAAGAAGTATATTTTTTTTTGGATGATCATCAACTGATGCAAGCAGCCTTATTAATGATGATATGCCACTCCCTGATTCCCTCTGTATGGGATGAAGTCCGTGAAGGATTCCAAATAATTTTATTTTTGCACTTTAACCTTATGCATCATTTATTTTATTAGTGGTATTGATTTTGGGTTTACTTCCTGTAAACACAGTAATTAAAATTAATAATTTGTTTATGTATTAAAAAATACAGTACTTTACAAAATACAAAAAATGAAGAAAGGTTAATCCCCGTACAATTTGGAAGAAGTATGTCTGATAAAAATGTAGGGTTCAGGGCAGACAACAAAAGTTAATATTCCAAATTGAAGTTTTGGACATTGGCTTCATCCTGATTTGATAGTGATGCTACATTACTCTATTCACTTTCTCTTCTAGTACGTTTGTTGGTCCAAATTAAACTACGAGTAAATTATTAATTACAAGTAAAATTTATAAACATTGTGTTTTGGGCCTGTAGCTTATTATATGGTGGAATGGAGGTGCTAGCTAAATTATTGTTGGGGATAAAATTCCAAACTATGAGTTACGGTGTTACGGAGTACTTGTCTTAACAAGTATTTATATATGCAAAATGTATTTCAAACGCCAAATTTTGCTCTAAGAGTTACTCCCTCCTTTTTAAATACTTGCTCCATTTCTTTTGGACACACATGTCGATGTTAATCTTTAATCACTAATATCTTTAATTATCAATAAGTATATATTCTAACAATTGAAAATTAATAATCTATTCATTGAGATGATTCCAACAAGTACCCACAAAACTATATTTTTTTTTATGTATAAATCACAAACATTAGTCAAAGTATAACAAATGAATAGTGCAAAAAATAGAAATGGAACAAGTATTTAAAAACGGAGGGAGTACTTTGTACAATACAAATAATTACTTGTAACAATAAAGTGATATGATCCTCTATTGATTAATTAAAAAAAAGTATGTAAAGATTAATCAACAACTAACATGAGAATAAAATTCAAATATTAATTAATCTACTTATACTAATTAATTAAGTATTACGTGATAAAATATGGTTTTGAAATGCATTAAAAAAAAAAAAAAAAGAGAGAGAGAGAGAGAGATCAATCAAATCTATGTTATAGAGTGCGAAATATTGTTTTGAAATGCGTTACAATAAAGATATGAGAT